CAAGTTTTTACCGTTAGTTTCATCCGTTTTGTCCATTCCAATCCACTGTCCGTTCCGTCAAGCTAATAATTATCAAACACGTTAAGTACAACAAGCACAAGTTTTTACCGTTAGTTTCATCCGTTTTGTCCATTCCAATCCACTGTCCGTTCCGTCAAGCTAATAATTATCAAATACGTTAAGTACAACAAGCACAAGTTTTTACCGTTAGTTTCATCCGTTTTGTCCATTCCAATCCTCTGTCTGTTCCGTCAAGCTAATAATTATCAAACACGTTAAATACAAGAAGCACAAGTTTTTACCGTCCGCTCCGTCCGTTTCATCCCTTTCGTCCGTTCCATCCGTTTCTCTAATCGTCAAGCTATTATTAATAGTATCAAGTCCTATGCATGTGAAAAGTGTTGTTGTTTGTGGTGGTGGTTTATATAGTTTTCAACGATAATAGATCATTCCATTTGCATGGTAATTTTTTTTTATTATAACATCACAAATAAGCCAAAATACACCGCGTGGGAAAGGTTGGGATTATTAGTAAAAAAAACTCGTGTTAATGTCATCGTTATATCGAAATTTAATTAGTCATCGTTATAAGAAGTATCGCTTGGGTCCTACGCTAATACGTATTGTCTGATCAAGCAAGTATGCTTTTCCAAGTAGTGTACTTGTTATACTTTCGACCCATACTACTTTACTTGAACTAACCAACTAACCTTAAGTATTGGCTTGAACACTAAAATAATAATAACGATAACAACGATAGTAATAACTAATTTTTTCAAATAACATATCATAATTAGGGATGCTCACTCTCAAAGTCGATTTTTGAGCTGAACTGCTCCAAACCGATCCAAATAGTCACATGATCAACACAAATCTCTACCAATCAAGTTAATAAATAAGCTACATCACGATGGTAGTGGCGAGAAGAAGATAAATAACTATAAACATGTAAAATAGCTAAGCTTAGGAATAGCTCTCGTTTGTAAGTAGTCACTTCTTTGTCATTTTTTTATTGATCATCTTACAAAAAGATATACTAATAGATCTCAGTAACTCTATAACTAATGATAGTTGAGAATTAATAATCCTAAATAAAGAGAATGAGAGATTGAATCAGCAATCGATGACTCAAAACTTCGGACAAAATAATATTCGCGCTCATCTAATTATAAAATAATTCGGGTTCACTTGATAACAATGTGTTTGATTAACCCGAGTCTGTTAAATATATTTAAGAACACTGAACAAAAGGATATTAATATAAAATAATTGTATTAGTAAAAATGGTTAACAAAAATGGAAAATTTAATTATTAAAAAAGATTTTAGAAGCCGCTTGTTTTTTCCTATTCATTCATTCGTGTATCTTTCACTCTAATACATCAATGGGCTCTGGATTCATCAATGCTTACCTCTTCTTTTACAGGTTATTTTTTACAAATATGTTTGAATCCTACCATAAGAAGGTAAAGCAAACAACATTTCACTTACATGAATTAATTGATAAGAGTTGGTAGTTTCAATAAGTTGGTGAGTTTGGAAGTTTTGATAAGTTAAAGATCTTTGATAAATTGAAATTTTCATATGCTAATGTAATATGTCACTTTTCTCTTTTTGATTACTAATTGTACTTGATTTTTGCTTTAGATACTTCTCATAAAACTACTGTTCCTGATTCAATAAGTGAGCTAATTCTAAAGTGTCACCTTTAGTTTTCATACAAAAAATATCAACCTATAATATTAATGATGAATTTCTTAAAGAATTCCATCAATTTCTCTTTTTCATGCAACAAATACTTATCAAAAAACTGTAAAAGTAATAAATAAACTAATAAAAGACAAGAGTACTATTATATATTTTTCACTAATTATGGAATTAGCTAATAAATATTGGAAAAGAGAATTAAACAAATACAAGAATAATAAAAAATATATTAAAGTTTTATGCCAATTTTTACTGAAATTGTACAATTCGAAAGAAAAATAAAATATAGAGAGGGTAAAATAAAGTCTTAATTATATATAATATTCTGATTAACTGTATTAATTAATTTACTAATTTTCTGTGCTAGTAAAAATATATTTCAGAGCTAAACAAATAACAAAAATTCTTTCACTTTATTCTTCTTATAAAAAAGAAATTACAATATTTTTGGTTAAGAAATTCCAATAATTTAATATAATAAAAATCTCAAAAGACTAATTTATAATAAAATATTAATTTAATAATTCCAATATCAATATTTTAATTAGTTTAATATAATTTAAAGCTATTTATTTAGAAGTTTTAAAGTATATAGTTGAAAGAGAAAGATAAAATATTTAAATATTAAAAGATATTTCTTTTATTATATTATTTTTCTCAAGTTTTAATATATTAAATTAAGACTTAATTATAACTTTATTTATAAATTTTTTATGAATACAAATATATAATTAAATTTTTTTATAATTACTACTCTTGAAAAAGTAAAATTTAATAATTATTACTATAATTATTTTAAAAAGAACTTCTTTACTTTTAATAAAAGAATCATATAAATTAAAAGAGAAAAATAGATTAATAAATTAATCAGTATAAAAATAAGTATCTAAATCTATATTAATTTCAATAAGAATTGGTAAACAATTTTATTAGAAGGTAAAAAAAGATATTGAAAGAGTGTATTTAAAAAGAGAATAAACTAATAAGAAATACTAACTAAAAATAAATAGTATTAATATTTCTATACTTGTAAATATATATTTTAGTACTTTCAATATTAACAAGAAAATAAAATATTAATATTCAAATCAAATATCTTTAAATAAATAATCAAAATTCAATTTAATACAAATTAATATTCAGTTTCTTGATCTCATTCAAGATTTATAAAAAGTAACTTAAATAACAAGATTAAAAGTTTAATTAACAAATTATTTTAGTCAGATAACTCTTTTTAATAAAATAAAAATAAGAATAATATTAACAGTACAATAATAAGACACAGTTAATTAACTTGTTAAAATTTATTAATTTATTTGAAGTATAAAAGAGAGTGTATTGAAACAAACTCTTATTTATACAAAAATTTTTAATATATTCTGATATTATTTATAATACAAATTATTATAAAAAAAGAAGAAAAAGATAAAAAAGATAAAAAAATAAAAAAAGATATTTCAAATTGATAATTATTAAAATGAGAAATAATAAATAATAACCAAGTTTGATGATATAATACTTAAATATCATTCTCATATTCAAGATATTAAATATAGTTTACATATACAAAAATATCATATAACTTCAGAAGAATGAGCACAAATTCTTCTTTTTCTTTAAAACAAATATATTATAAGGCAAATAACAAAAACAAGAAATATCAATCTCTCAATAATTTTCTATATTAGTAAAAATGGCAGGAGCAATATTCTTTTGAAGGTGCAGTAAGATTTGATCAATCTTCTATTATAAATGAATCAATAAACAAAAAATTATTAATTTTATTATCTCTTAGAGATATTTATCTATGGTAGAAGTTCAAAAATACATACAAGAAAAAGAAAATATTAATATATTAGTATCTATTATTCATTATATATTATAAGATAATAATTTGATATAAAAAATCCTACTTAAGCAAAAAATATTAAATAAGATAATTAAAATTTGCATGAAATCATAAAAATTAGATTATCAAAGATTGATCAGAGATTATATGATCTGATGAGTCTAAATTTAAGATTTTTTATTTTAATAGAAAGTAATATTACTGGAAATATCTAGATAAATCATTAAATTAATTTCATATTAAACTTACAATAAAATTTGAGAGTGGATCAATAATAATTTGAAGATACTTTATATTTTAGGATATTAATAACTTTTGTAAAATTGATAATACAATGAATGCTAAATTATACCAATAGATACTTTATGAGAATCTTATGAATACTATTAGAGATTACAAAAAATATTATATTCCAACAAAATATAGATTCTAAGCATATGACAAATTCAATAAAATAGTGATTTAGAAATAATAGAGTTAAAATATTGAATTGGTCATCACAATCTCTTGATCTAAATCTCATTGAACATTTATAAAATAAGATTAATCATCATCTTTAATATCTTTCTGAACAAATTTCAGGTAAGAAGAACTTGTGAAACAAGATATAACAGATTTAACAAGAAATTAATATTGATACCTGTATTAACCTAATTCACTTTATGCCAAAAAGAATTTATAATATAATAAAGACATGAGATAACTATATAAGATAATAGAATAAATCAAATTCTATAATATATATATTGTTACAATTATGTTATAAAATTCATTAATTCCATAATTTGTAATATTTTATGAAATTATAAAAATCAAGTAAAGAACTTAGAACATTTTACAATTTTTTTATATATTATTAATATTAGAATTTGTATACTTTTATTTTTCTACTTCATACTCCTATACTTTTTATACTTTTTTTACTTTTTCTATCTTGTACTCTTATATTTTTATCTTTTCTACTTCATATTATTATATTTTTATACTTTTATACTATTTTTACCTTATATTTTTATACTTTTTATACTTTTTATACTTTTATATATTTATACTTTTTATACTTTTTATATTTTTATACTTATTTATTCTGAGTA